TCATCCCCTTTGGCCTTGGCCAGTTCCACTGCCCAGTTTTAGCTGTGGCGGTTGTTTCTCTTATCCACCCACCTTCACATCTGGCTTGACATGTTTTCCTTAAAGCTGCCTAAATAATTTACCTTGACTAAGAGCAAACAGCAGTGCCAGCCCCAGACGAAGCTTTCTGAGAATGACAGTAACTAGAGGGTACTTGCTGTACTGGACATCGAGCCGTGGCATGCCTGACTCTGCTGGATCCAGGTGTTCCAGATTTCTGTCAGCCTCCTTCCTGAGAGGACAGGGGTTCTGCCTCACAAAGCGGAGCTGCTCTAGGCTGAGAGGATTAGTTTCCTTAAGTTCTGAAAATCCTTGGGATGTTTTCCTTCTTTTTTATGGGAAAAAATAGTTTGTTGGGATTATGCCCATATTAGCTCCTTCCCATGATGCTTTCCCACCGCTGCTCCTCCTGAGCCTCAGGCTGAAGAACAGCTGCTCCCATGCTGCTGTGCCTATTCCTCAACTTTTACATTCTTGCACCCAGACTCCTCAAAGAAGAGGAAATCAGTGAGCTGTGCTGCTTCTCCTTGAATCAAACATTAACCAGATCCTTTGGTGTGTATGGTTCCTTCTCTTGGTTTATGTCCAACGCTGCTTTCACAGAGCTGGTGCCACAGCTGTTGGGCTCTGAGGACAAAAACGTGTTCAGCCAAATGTCCACAGAGTGAGGATCACTGTCACCATTTCCACATCGCTTGGCTCATTGAGCATCACCAACGGAGCTGGGAATCCCGGAGTAAGAAATGCCCAGAAATCTGTGTATGGGGCTCGACATGTGGCCCCACCCTTGGCCATCCAGCCTGCCTGCCAGGGCCAGAACTGCCACATCTCAGGGGGTCCTGTCCCCTTATGCTGCTGCCAAGGGTCTCACCCTGCACGTAGGGAGTGGCTCTGGTCCCAGGGACAGTGCACCCGTGCTGTGCTGTGCAGCTCTGAGGAGTGGGGAACAGACCGGCTACTTCTCGACAGTGCATTGTTAAAGGTTTCGCCTCCCCCAAAATGACACATTGCAAGCAAAAATAGAACAAGACAGAACACATAGACCCACCCCCACCATCCCCACCACCCGGCAGCCAAGTGCATGTGGTGCCAAAGTCTCAGGTTTAAAAGCTGGTGCTTTGTCACCCTCCCTCCCCTCAGCCTTGCCACCACCTGCCTTGGCCTGGCAGGCGTTCCGGCAGCCCGGTGGGTGACCATTGCACCGAGAGCAACCATGCTGCTGGGATGATCGCCACCCAACCTGCCCTGTGCACTGGATCTGGCCTCCCTCTTCACCTGGTGGGTCTGGGGACGGGGACAGCTCCCAGCTGTGGTGTTTGTGCCAGAGGTTCTCTCACCTGCTGCAGAGTGGTGCTGTTGAAGTGGCATGAGGGATGCCTTTGGCCAGGAGAGCCACCTCCGGCATGGCGTCATTGCTCAGCCCAGCATGCCGTGAGCCAGGGCTGTCTCCTGTGGATGATGAGGGAAGCTGCCTCCCAGCCAAGGAGCAGGGTCCAATTCTGGACTGCCGCCGGCATGTGCTAAGCACAGTTGGACCAGGCAGAGATCTGGTTGGAAAAACTCCAGGAAAGGAAGAGCTGCTCCCGAGGTAGTAGAGCTGTCAGCTGTTTGTCAGTAGCACCTAACGAGGCTGTGGCCTGCCTTCACTACCCTGGATCCTCCATGGCTTCAGAGCCAGTGTTTACACTTGCAGGAGAATTATCCAGACTTCATGAGTCCAACTGTGATCCTATTCTGGGACACAAAGCCCATTTACTCTCACATCCATGGATTTTTAACATTGGAAATGGCTGGAGCAGAGGTTGGTGGTGTCTTGGGGGAAGGGCTGGAGCGGTTTGGGCTGGGTGTTGGGTCAGAGAGGAGCAAAGAAGCCATGGCACCAGAACCCACACCCTCAGGACAGGCAGCCACGTCTGGAGAGTGGTTTAGGCATGAGGGTGAACTTCTCCCTCTGAAGCCAGATGAGCAGGGCTGGGGTGCATGTTGCCAGCCAGGCTGTCAGGGCTGCAAGGCCGAGGCAGCAGGGCTGAGCTTATCCAGTGAGCTGCACGTGGAGGCAGAGGTGTCTGTGACACATTCCTCTGTCACCCAGCCCTGCCCCAGTAATGTCAGGGGGAGCTGGGACAGAGCTGTCCTGCAGGGTTGGTTGGACTGGGAGGAAGACTGCTGTCACCTGTACAGTAGCTACACTGTGCAAACAGACATTGGACGTAGTCCTTGCAGAATGAGTTCTGCCTCAGTTTCCCTGTGGGAGTCACACAGGGTGGCTGCTTCTGGGGCTGCTGTGAGTTCATGCTGAGTAAGCTCTGAGAGGGGCTATAACATCCAGAACCGCCTGGCTGGGATCTGCTCAGCCCCAGTGCTGTTCTGCTGAGGAAGAGGAGGCATATCCAGGACAGACCTGGTGGTTTTGTGGCAGCGAGTGGCTGCTGTATTTATCTGTGCTGAGGCCATGAGGCATTTGCAGCTGGTGTCTCACCATGTGTGCATTTGCACCGGTGGGTTTCTCCCATCTCTGATGCTCTGCATCTGCTCTCACAAGCTTTGGCTTGACCCGGGCCCTCTGCCTTCTCCTGCACCCTTTGAGTTCTTCCCGGGAAAGGCCCAAAGGGGAACAGCCTGGGGGAAACAGCCATTTGTTGATTCTTGTCTGGTTCTTTGCTGATTGTGGGGAGCCACCAGCACTTGTGATGGCAACTCCCAGTTGACCCACCTTCCCCCACGTGTCTTGCTGGCAGGTTTGGGAAGAGCAGGGTGGGCTGTGCTTTGGCTGGTGTGACCGCTGTGCTGGAAAGCTGGGCTTCTCGTGAAGGAAGGCTGCAGAGAACTGAAGGGTGCTGTGGGTATGACTGTGGGGTGTTGAAAAGCCCCCCACACTGCTGCCCCTGAAGGTCACAGAGGAGGAGAAAGGGGCCCACACCACTTAGCAGGAAACACCCTTTTAGGAGGGAAAAACCCAACTGGGTTTAACATCGGGACAGGTTTATCCTCTGGTTCATCATGTGAGGGTGGAGGGGTGGTTTACCAAGCTGGGATGGAGGGCAGGAGCCCCGTGAAGCTCTGCCATGCCTGGGCAGACCCCACAGCGTGGGGACAAGTCCTGTGAGGGCACTTAACCAGCCAAGCTGTCCCAGGCTGCACACAGACCCTCGTCCCTGCCAGGGGCTGTTGTGGGGTGGTCTCTGGGACAGTTGTGCCCTGAGAACGAAGCTGGGTGCCACCGCTAGGCTGGTTCTGGGTGGGGATCAGGGGACGCGTGAAATGGTGCTTGGGGACGTGCTGCTGCGTTTCAGTGTGTTTGCTTCCCGTAGAGTGCGCGTGGGGCCCCGCAGACCCTGTCACCACAGCCCCTGGTCGCCTGCACCATTCCCCCTCTCGCCCTCCAGCCTGTTCAACTCCTACAATCTGGGGGCGGTTGGGAAGCGACAGCTGGAGCCAACGCGCCAGCCCGGTGCGCGCTGCCATGCCAACCCCGTTTCCATGGCAATGGGCACCCAATGGGTGACTGCCAGGCAAGGCCAAGATGCCTGAAAAATGATGTGGTACCCCCCGAAATGGCCAGCTGAGGGTGGGAGCCCACAGATACTGCTGGTTTCAGTGCTGCCTGCAATGCCTCGGAGCGGATCAGAACCATCCTGGGCCACAGGTGTGTGTAACAGGGTGGATGAAACCCTCAGTGCACTCCGTGAAACCACTGAGAGAAAAAAAGGGGGAGGTGTGTACAGCGCCTTTGACAGCCCCCTCCGACCGTCTTACAGCCTAATTTAATTAAAATCGTTGGGTCTTACATAATCCTCAGGGTGCCGTGCTGCTGGAGCCACCCCCGCCCAGTGCTGGAGAGGGTCCCGCAGTGTGGGGGTGTCAGGAAGGCAGTGGGACACGGGGAGATATGCTCCCCAGGACCGACTGTGCCCTGGGGCTGCTCTTCACTGGCCCCCCTTACATTAGTCCCTGAGCCCCATGTTTATCCAGCTCCACATTGAAGTCTAGGTGTGTATCAAAACATTTTAAAATAACTCTGCCTTTTGTTAGCATTGCAGCTATCTTTAGAGGAGATTTGATTTTATTTGAAAGCCCTCCCTGGGAGGGTTCAGTGGAATAGATTGCCAGCCCAGCAGCTGAAAGGGACACGGGTGTGGCAATTTCCTTTCTTGGCTGGAAACACTGTATTAATTATTGCTTATCGATCTCATAAACCCCATTTTACCCCTGCAGCTGTCTCCTCGGCTTTCTTGAGGTTTCCACAGCTGGAAGAGGCAGTGTTCTGCTCAGTGTTGCTCATGATCCACTTTTCAGGCACCCTGGGCTGGTTCTTCAGGCATCCTGCTCTGCAGCTCCATCACCTCTGTGTCACCAGCTGCCCTGGTCATGGCAGCTGGTGGCTTTCTCAAACACTATAATCAGGATGGGGAAAAACAGTGCTGTGTTTTCACAGTGAACTCAGGTCACAGCCATGGGCCACCACCTCTGCAGCCATGGCAGTGGCTTGGGGGACAGCCCACACCCCCCCATCACATGCCAGTGTCCCTGCTCCAACTGTGATGGAAGGTGGACCAGATGAGGAGCTCTTTGCTGAGTGGAGGTGGCCAGAAAGGCGCCCTGAGCCCACCAGGGGCCAGCTCTGCACCTTTTGGGCAGCCAAATAATTTTGTGTCTCACCAGTTGTCCTGTCAGCAGCCTGACTGCCACTGTGGCACACTGGGGCGAGGGAACTGCAAGTCACCCACGACGGGCAGGGTGGCCAAGGTCCCTCTGAGTCCTGGGGCTACTGACCTGGACCTGCTCCTTATGTAGAGCCAGCAGTGAAGGAGAGGCTGGGCAGCAGCCCAGTGTTGGGGATGCTGCAGGATGGCCGAGCAGAGTCTATACCCTTCCTTTGGGCTTCTTGCATCCTGCTTTCAGGCTTCCTGCTCTCTCCAGGCTCTGATCTTTAACACGTCACCCCTTTCTCCCCCCACCAGGAGACAGGAACAGTTCCAGACAAACCCTGACAGCTACAATGGAGCTGTGCGAGAGAATTACACCTGGTCCCAAGACTACAGTGACCTGGAAATTAAAGTGCCTGTGCCCAAGCACATCGTCAAAGGCAAACAGGTAAAGTGGTGTTGCTGGTGTGTCTTTAGCATTTCCCTTTCCATCAGGGTGCCCAGCTTTCCCGGGAAGCTGTGTTTGGAATGGGAAGGCTCCTTATCCTTTGTTCTTCAAGAGAAGGATGTGGTTGTGCTTTTTTCTCTGGTGTGTGTCTGGTGGGGACTGATGGTCCCAGCCTGCTCATGTTCCTGTTGAGCTGCAGTGTCCTCTACTCTGTCCCAGCCAGGCTCTCTGGCACTGCCTGGCCCTTTCTGCACTTTTTCTCTCTGTTTCCATCACCTGCACATTCAAACATGGGTTTCGGAGCCTGGCTGTTGATGGATGCCCCTTCCTCAGTTGTGCCTCTGATGCCTTCCATTTGGAAGTGGGAGCTGCTGGAGCAGCTCTTCTGGCACTGCAGAACTGCATCAGGCACAGCCTGTGTGTGGCTTGACCTGGTCTGGGTGGAAGGGAGCTGGTCTGGGGTACAGGCTGAGGGCCAGCCCCTCTCCTTGGCTGGCTGTGTGGGCAAGAGGCAGAGAGGTTCCTGCTTGGCTCAGGCAGGAACCTCTCTGCTCTGCTTGTGGTCACGTTGTTTTTCCTTCACTGCTTCTGTTCCCTCCCATGGCTGGTCTTGGTTGGACCCAGAAGTTCAAACTCTTTCGAGTGTTGCCCTCCCCATGGCTGATTCTGTACTTTTCCATTTGGGAAGCCTGTACTCCCCCACCTCCTGCTCTCCTCTGCTTCCAGGGCAGCTGAAAGGAGCACACTGGGGTTTGTCACCCGCTTCAGCCTACACAGCTCCTCGGCATGCCAAGGAGTGTCACTGGCAACAGCAGCAGCAGCAGCAGCCTGGGCCGGAGGGGTGAGGGAGCACATGGCTGCCACAGGCACAGCAGGGCCCTGGGAGATGCATCTCTCCCAGCAGGTCTCTAAAACAAACCCAGGCTGTTTCTTGGAAGGATTCCGGCCCATCCAGACGGATGTTCCATTCCTCCGCATCATACTGCGATCACGATGCCTCTCCCTGCCCATGGAAAAGTGCCCTCCTTGCCGGGGGAGTTGTGTCCTTGCCAAAATCCACACTGGGCTCTGTCTGCCCTGTCCTTGGCCATGGAATGATGCAGGGGCCTGCAGGAGCTCATGGGAGTGGAGACAGGATATGCTTTCCCGACCTTTCCTTGGCTCAAGACTTTGCCGTCACTGTGGAAAAGTCCCTGCGCCTCAGAGTGGAGGGGGTTTCAGGACAGCCCCTTCCCACACCAGTGCCCATGGGCACACAACTCTGCCTGCCCTTGCCCTGATGTCTGCCCATGCTGCCCTCAGAGCAATCGGCTGTTCAGGCGCTGGACTTCCCTTCTCCTTGTGCTCTCTGTCTCCTGGTGTTTGTTCATGCCTCTTGGGGCTCCCCTTGGCATCTGAGTTTCCATTTCCAAGTGATTCTTTAATTCTTCTTCAGCCTCAGGGGAATGGGAGCAGACAGGCTGAGTCTTGGGCCAGAGCAGGAGGGTGCAGAGCCATTATAAAGCTCCATGGACTTTGGTTGTGTTGTTGATGGGTTCCTGTATAAGAGCAGCATTCCCCTGCATTCATACACCTTCGTATTTTTAAAAAATTATCAGGTTTTTGGCTTTTACCTGCCCAGGTGAGATTAAAAATCTCCCTATTTGGTCCCTGGGCTCAGAGTCTGCCCAGCTCTAATGCTGCTCTCAGTCTTCCTTATGACACTTTTTGGGATTTGGGCTGTTGCTATGGCACATTTTTGCTCTGGTGAGCTTAAGGTTTCCTTGTATGGAGCTCAAAAAAAGTGTCCTTGGAGCAGGAATGGGTGATGGAGTAGCTGGTCCCCACCTATCTGATTTACTTATGGGTGCAACAGAGGCCCACCTATCCGAGCACTTAAATAGAGATAATGACTCTAGGCCTCTCTCTCTGCTGGGCTTGGAGGAGACAAGCTTGATTCCTCTCTCAGTCTGTGTTTGCTTGTTTGATCTGTGTGGGCGGGTGTGGGCGTTCCGTGTGCACAGAAATCACCGTGGTGTAAAAGCCGTGGCACAGAGCTGAGAGCTGGCTTCCCTTGGAAGCACTGAGTCAACCAGGAGTTTTGGGGGTCAGAGGTGCTCATAGGGAGTGCATGGCAAGGGACAGGCAGCCTTGAAGCCTCTGGGGTGCTTTCAGGGGGATGTGTTCCTTGCAGAATTGCTCTTGGCCTTCCCCCAGGTGTGGACTGTCCACAGGCACCACCCTGTGCATATGTGAGTCCTCTCAGAGATGTCCCTCCATGCACAGAGGGGCAGGGCTCTCCAGTGGGGTGTACTCTGCCCCTGTACCCTGTCCCCGCTCCTGGGGGGTTGGTGTGCCGAGCGAGACCTTCTTGCGGGGCAGTTATAGAAACAGGTGTTGCAATTGCTTCTCACTCTGGCTGGTTGCACAGTGAAGGGACTGGGTGAAGGCTGCCCAGTTTGGATCCCTTCTTCCATTTGGGTTTCTCTGCTCCCTCTCCCAACACCTGGCTGGTCCCAGAGCCACCTCGAAGCTGCCCCTTAGCTCCAACAGCTGCCTTGTGCTGGGAATAAAACCCCTCTCACATTTGGTTACTCCTGTCCCTGTGGACCCCAAAGCCACAATGCTGCATCTGTGCCTTCCATGTGTCCAGCCTCCCCGACCCTCCACACCACAAAGAAGCCCCCTCAGAAGGTGACTCAGGAGTCACCTTCCATTTTTTCCCTGGACCCCTTCTGGACAGGCCCTGTGCCGTGCTGAGAGCCTGGCATCAGCAACCCTGCCCTGCACCCGGGGCCTGGGCGGGTAGTGGTGGTGGAAGGCAGAGCCTCATCCTCATACCTCATCCCTGAAGTGAGACCTCAGCCCTGGGCTGGAGGGAGCTGCTCCATGCTCAGCCCCTCTGGAGGTGTTTCCCATCCAGGAGCAGCTACTCTCGTAGAGGCTGTCCACAGCCACATGCCGGGTGACAGCCAGTTGTTCTCTCTCATCCTCATGTTCCTTCCCTGATCCCCAGTGACCGTGGTCTTGCTCCCCACCATTGTGTCAGAGCTTAGTCCTGTGTCACCCTGTGCTGTGTGCGCTGAGCCTCCTCTGCTCCTGCCAGAGCCCTGGCAGCTCCCTGTCACACACAGCAGGTTCAGGGGCTGTACCCAGGTGACATCAGTCAGACCCGACCATGGTGCCCTCCCTTGCTGGAGCAGCTCTGCCTGTCTCCTGCCTGCATGGAGCTAGTGAGCCGCTGGAAATCTCCTAGGTAATGGATAATGTAATAACATTTCAAATGAGATCTGCAGAGCGGGAGGAAGATCTGGGGGAACTCTGGGAGAGAATGCAGGCAAATCTCACCGCAGTCTCCTCCTCTCGGCCCAGTGCCGGGGGGCCACAATCCTGCCCCTTCCCAGCCAGGTCTTCCCTGCAACCCCTGGCCTGGTGCGGGCTCTGCTGGCAGCAGCTCAGCGCTGAAGGGGACAGGAGAGAGCATATGGTCTCTCCGGAGACCAAGGATACTGCGTGCCTGTCACAGGCTGCCTCTGTCTCCCCAGGGGACAGCCATGTCACCTGCGTGGCAGGTCGGAGCAGGGTTCCCCATATGGCTGCTGTGGGCGGGAGCTGGCCCCATTCCTGGGGACAGAGCTGTCCCCATCGCAGGGAGCGGGGGAGCCGTGCCGGGGAGCTGTGCCGCAGCATTCCTCCTGCACGCGGCCCCTCCTCGCACGCCTGATGGGAGGCCTGGGCTAAGCCCAGAGCTGGCTCCAGCAGCGGAAGCAGAGCCAAGGAGTTTGCTTTCGGCACAGTGCAGCAAAGGGGGGACGAGCTGCTGCAGCCCTAGTGTAGGAACCCCCCAAATTGGCCCCGCTCAGCCACCAGGATGACACACACCCATACCCAGCTCATCATGGTGACAGAGGGGCACACAGCCTGCTCCTAAAGAGCTTCAGTCACAGCAAGTAGGTGCCAACCTTTGAGTGCTGTGTGGAGGCCTGTAGCATTACAGGTACACATTTTCTCTGTGGGGAAACTGAGGCACTGGGTAGAACCAGCTGCCTCGAATCCTTCAAGGACCCCAATTGCTGAACTGTGCTGCCTTTCCTCCTTGGAGAGGTTCCCTCACTCCTCCAAGCTGTCACTGTTTGCTATGAGATGACAGCGGGATTCCCACCCTCCCGCTGCAGGCAGTGCTGGAAGCTCTTCTCTCTCTCATCCCTGGCGAGTGCACTTGACCCCACACCCCAGCTCACACAGTGAGAGGGCAAGCAGGAACACTCCGGATTATTGTCTCTCTCTCTGTGTTTCCAGGTGTCTGTGGATATCAGCAGTGGCGCAATTCGCGTAGCGGTGCTGGAGGGGAGCAACCAGCATGTCCTCATGGAAGGGAAACTCACCCACAAGATCAATACGGAGAGTTCCCTGTGGAGCCTGGAGCCCGGGAAGTGCATTTTGGTAAGGGCAGTCTGCACCAGCCATGTCTCCTTGGCTTGCAGCTGCACTAGGCTTGACCTGGGAAACTGCAGCAGCTGGAAGTTTGAGCCAGGTGGAAAAGGCTCAAGAAAAGGCTTCTTTTCTGGGAAAAGATATATGTCTGGCTTTGCCTGTCCAACATCTGGCTCATGCTGTCCTTTCCTGTGTGCCATGCCTTGCCTCCCTTGCTCCTGAGGTGCCCCTCGGGGTGCTGGCTGAGCAGCACATCTGTCAGGCTGGGCGAGGGGGTCCCCAGCTCCAGCTGCAGGTGGGGGAGCACAGCTGTTACCTGGGGGTCATCACTGTCCCCGATCCCAGCACATGCCCCTGCACTGCAGCGCCGGTCCTGCACACCTGGCCTTGCTGACTCTGCCCTCCGACTCTCCTGGCCCTGCTCTGGCCCTGGCATCTTGGCAGGTGCCTGTTTCCTGCCATTCCTTTCTGTCCTGCCATGGGATTCCTACTTAACCTGTTTGAAGTGGACACTGTGGCTCGTTCTCTGTCTGCCTTCAGCAGGCCTGTGGTTTGCTGTGTGACTGCTGCCCCAAATCATCCCTGTCCAAGTGGTCCAGGGGCTGCTGGCACCCAACTGTGTATTAATGGTGGATTCCCAGCCCCAAGCCTTGTTTCTGGTGTGTTCCAGATGTGCAGGCTGAGGGTGTGAGTTCACCTGTGTCCACAGCTGGAGCTATTGTGGGGGCTCTACCCATCGCCCTGAGATCTCAAGTGTCAAACAGTTCCCAGACTCCTGTGCCAGTTTGGGGGCCAGGATTGTGCTGGGAGTGGAATTTTGCTTCCTGTGGCCATCTTTGCCCTATCCTTTTCCAAGCAGAGTTTCCAGAAGAGTTTCAGGAGTCCTAAGGCTGTCGTTAGACCCAGGAGGGGATACATGCCATCCCTGTGGGGGAGGGAACAGACTCCAAGCCTTTCACCCCATGACACAAGAGTGTCAGCAGATGGGCACCCAAATCCAAGCCCCCTGAATGGGAAATGGAGTGGGAATGTGCTGCCAGACTCGGGAATGCTGCAGATGGTGTGTAGGGAGGCTGCTCAGTGTCACCCAGCCACTGCCAATCCGTTGGGATGTACCCCAAGTGACAGGCTGGGACCAAAAGGATGAGTGAGGTCACTGCAAGGGAGAGGAGATTCTCCGATGCTGTCAGGCTAGTGGAGGGATGTGGAAAGGAGGTTGTGGCTTCTTTTACATGCATTTTGTAAATGTTCATAAACATCTTGAATATTAGCTAATCTGGAAAAAGAAACAATCCTGGAAAAGTGTAAACTTGTTGAAGAGGAGATGGCCCAACGGGTGGCTGCTCTCCAGCATGGAAGGGAGTCCCGGGTGGGTGTTCTCAGGATCAGCAAGGGAGGTGATGGGTCTTCAATACCCGTCAGAGGCTGGGAATGGTGTAGGCGGAGTGAGACTTGGGGCCTTCTGAAGTCACCACGGGCAGCATGGGGAGCAGAGTGGGCCCATCACCCCCAGTTCCAGAGCTGGGTCTTGCCTCAAATTAGCATGAACCCAGGGTTGTGAGGATCTCCAGCTGGCTGCCAACATACTGATGGTGGGATGAGATCTCGCTTGAAGAACTGTAAGGTAACTGGAGCAGCGTGAGGAATTCTTGCCCAGGAGCATCTCCTTTTCCCATGCTCAGAGTAGCCAGAAGTGGTTTGCGACTCCTTCTGATTCATTCATCAGGAGACACCCACTCTGTGGGAATGAATTGCTTTGTTCAGCGCCTGGATGGGGCTGTTGGGGTTTGGTTGGGGCTGACGGGGCATACAGACCCTTTCTGTACCCCAGTTTGTGTATAGCTCTGTGTGAGCTTCAAATACAACTGTTGGGGATGTCTTCCTCCTGCAAGGTGCTACCTGGCTTGCCTCCATTGGACCCAGGGATGGCGTTCCCTGGCAGAATGATGATGCAGCCAAAACCAAACTCACCCAGTGCCAGTGCTGGGGTTGTCTGAGGAGATCCTGCCCACCTCGGGGACTGCTTGGGACTCCTCGGTGCTGCGTGTTTGTGTTTTGTGAGTTGAGGTGATCCTTGCAGCAGAGCTCAGTCTGTGCGCCAAGGGGGTAAAATCTCTCCTGCTTGGTCCTGTCCATCTGGGAAGGTCCCAGCTCTGTGCAGAGAGGCTGTTGAGTTCCCTGTGCTCTTGCAGGACATGTCAGGGATTGTCAACCCCTTGTTCTCCAGTCTGCTGTTACCGCTCTTTCATCATCCTTGGCCTCCCTGTCCTCCTCCCTTCTGGGATGCCGTTCACAGATGCTCCAAAGCCAGCCTCCCTGCTCCCCCAGCTCTTATCCTGGGAAGATTATCTTGCCTTACAACCCCTCTAAGCTCTGCTTCCCCCATCCTGCCTGGCGGTCTTATCCATGTATCCTCTTCATTACGTGTCACTCTCTCTCCACCAACCACAACACTCCCCTCACCAGCATTCAGAGGCCACTCTGCCTTCCCCTTTCTGCTCCATGGGGTTCTCTTGGCTGTAGGCCAGCCCAACACCAACATATTTCTCATTTCATCCTTTGGCACAGCCACGTGTGCGGCAGCAAAACTCAGCTGGTGTCATTCTGCAGTGGAGTGCTCTGCCGACATGGGGCAGGGGTCTATCCACACCTCCTCCTGCTCAGGATTGTGTCCCAGGATGGTCCCGCTGCCCATAGTGCTGCACCGTACCCTGGCCCTGGGTGTGTGGTGTCATCCCTGTGCTCTCCCTTCTCTGTCACACCCGCTCGCTTGTCGAGAGCGAGATTAAAATAACCTCGCATGAGCTGTTTTTAGCAGTCCCCGTTGGGTGTTGTGCACAACACCATTTGGGATTATTTTCGTTTTGGAGGATTTTTCCCCATTTCCCTCTCTTTTTCTCCTCCTCTCAGCCTTTGTTATCCACACTTGGGCTTTTGTCACCAAGTCCTGCCTTGAACACATACTACAGTCTTGGCTTGTCATCCCTTGAGCCACGAGGCCAAGGGGACATGACTCCGTGATGCCTCTCTCAGCCCTGCCCTCCACACAGTGCTAGGAATGCCACTGCTGCCTCTCCTGTCCCCCTAAACACCTCCCAGTGACTTTTGAGGTGACTTTGGGCTGCTGTGATTCCAGTAGGAAAGCAGGCAGAGAGAGGTTGTTTCCCCAAGACCTACTTAGACCCCTTGCCAGCATCTCTCCAGCTCTGAGAAGGTATTTGGGATTGGAGAAGAAACCTCGTGCTATGGCAAAGCCCGGCACTGACAATGAGGGGTCATAACCTTCCCAGCAGGGTGTGGAAATGGGACATGATGCCATGTCCATGCCAGTGATGCCTTTCACCTGCTGGAGGGTCCCTCCTGCCGACTTGTCTCGTCATTCCTCACAATCCATCCTTACCCCTGTGCTTTTCCATGGAACAGCCCTTCCCTACGTGGCTGAGACATGTTTTGGACACTGGCTGTGGGAAGTGAGCACTTCAGTTTGAGGACGCTGCTCTCTTAGGATACAGCATTGGAGTGTGCCCCCCGCGATCTCCCTCCCCTTAGGCCGCCATTGCAGAGGCTGTTCCTGCCTCCCTATGCACCCCAAAAGACTCAGCAGGGCTTTTATGCCTTTGGGACCCACCAGGCAGATCCAAAGCCTGGCCAAAGGTGTGGACACGCTGCAGGGACCTCATCCTTCCTCTGGCAAGTGACTGCATCTCTGGGGTGCTGGGGGGTCAGCCCAAGCTGTTGACTGGGAAACTCAGCAGTAGTGTCAAGTGCAGCAAAGCTTTGCCTTGTCTGGAAGCGACAAACATAATCAGGTCAGGATTTGTCCTTGTGGAAAAAGCCCTGCTTCCTCCTGGAGCCCCCATTTCTGTAGCTCTCCCTGAGGGTGCCTGCAGCCTCATGGGGGACTGTCAGCCAAATGCCAGAGCCTCCTCGGTGGGTGGGTGGATGAGGGCTGGTGTGTGAGACCTGCCCAGAGACCTGCCACAGCCTCTCATCTCTCCCTTACCCCCACCTTTGGGCACCCAAAGCGCTTGGAAAGGGCACCAGCTGCACTCCATCACCACAAACTCTCGTAACCCAGATGTCAGCCAAGCATGGGCTGCTTCCACAGAGAACATCAGCAGTCACAGTCCAGGAAATCAACCTGTGTCCATGTCCCCCATCCTGGAGGTGAGACCTGTCCACGGTGAGTGTTCCAGCACTGCCTCTAACCACAAAACCCCAAACTCACAGGGATAGAGCAACCTTTGCCCTGGACCATGAGCATTTCACATCAGAAAGTGGGGCTCCCACCTTGGAGTGAGTCCCACTTTGACAGCTGTCCCCCTGGAATAAAGAGGGTTGAGCAAATCCCCTCAGGCAGGCTGCAGTACACTGGTATGGAGATGGGGTGATGCCTGAACTTCTGCAGCACCTGTCTGTTCCTCTGCCATCAGACTGCCTCTGGTAGGGATGTACCAAGCCATGCATGCTCCCCAGTGATGCTGTGAGAGCATGGCTTGTGGTGGAGCCATCACCAGGGAAACTCACACCCCACCAGCACTGTGGGGACATTCCTCATGGTCCAAACCCTGAGGAGCCTGAAGGATGCTCCTGCTGCAGGCACGGACAGGCCAGGGCTGCTGCCCCTCCGCTTGGCTTGCTGGCTGAGGGGTGATGTTCTGGGGGCTCCTGCCATTCCCTTGCCTGCCCACCCAGGGTTGGGAAGCCCAGGAGCAAACCCTTGGCAGCTCTCCCTCCCCTCCGAAGTGGAACTGTGCAATTAAAAGGAGAACAAGCATGCCTGTCTAGCTGGAAAAACTAACGCCTTCCCCAAGTTGGAATATTTTACCGGCTCTGCTCTCCCAGAAGGATTAAGCCCCAGCCACCCCCTCCTGTATTAATTGGTTCCTTTTCTTCACACTGCGGAGATGCCTGGCTTTGTAACGGGAATGGCTGCCTGTGTTCTCCCCTCCGGAGCCGTTGAGCTTCCAGGGAGTTTTGAGCAAATTGTATTGTCTGCCTTTATTGATGATTTTGCAGAGCCTAATGAATGTCATAAATCTGCCCTGCTGCTGGGATTAGTGCTAAAATAACATAGAAGAAAGCAGCTCCCTCTTCCTGGAAAAACAAAAAGCAGGTCGGAGTTCCTGGTGTGAGATGCCCCACGTTGGCCCTGGCACAACCCCTCCAGCCAGCCAGCTCCATGCAAGGCACTGCATCAGGGATGCCCACGGCTACGGCCAACGGCTTTTCCCAGCAAGGATATTGTCTGGAGCATCCTCATCCATCCCTCAGGTTGCTGCCGAGCCACGGTGCCACAGGAAGCAGGTGCTGGCAGTGAGCTGAGGTAGCACATTCTCACCTCCTTTGTCACCCACGCTGCCACCCACAGAACCAGTGCCAGGAGAACTGAGACCAGGGCTCCTTCTGGGTTAGAGAAAGGTGAGAAAGGCCATGCCAGCAGCCCCAGCCCCACACTCCACCGGACACAGTCTCCTTGTCTGACAGTCCTAGGTTCTGTTGCTGCTGCTCAGTCAGCCGTGCGGCCCTGGGCTGGTGTCACCCGTGGGCGGTACACCACTGAGGGACACTGGTCCTGGCCTTGAGCCATGGTGTGGACAGAATTTCAGCCCTGGGGTCTGAGCTGGGGCTGCAGAGGGCTGTGGTGGGGTTGTGCAAAACCCTTGGACCGCTGAGGGAGGGAGGCACAAACATCCCTCCACCTCTGCCAACCATGGGGCTGGATCCTTGTGAGCTGGACCTCTGCTCCTGGGCAAGCCCCATGCTGCTGTCAGCATGGCCAAGCTCTGCATCGCTGCCTTAGAGCTGTGGAATGGGCCGGGGTACCATGTCCTGGGCAGGATGGGGGCTCCTCTCCCTACTCCCTGACCCACACCTTGTCCATAGATCAACCTGAACAAGGGGGACGAGTACTGGTGGAATGCTATCCTGGAGGGCGAGGAGCAGATCGACATTGACAAGATCAACAAAGAGCGCTCCATGGCCACAGTGGATGAGGAGGAGCATGCTGTGCTCGACCGCCTCACCTTTGACTACCACCAGAAGCTGCAGGGCAAGCCCCAGAGCCACGAGCTGGTAGGTGCCGGCCACCCTGCGCCACCAGCCCAGCCTGGCCCTCCCACTGGCTCTCTAAGGGTCCCATTCCCAGGAAAAGGTTGCAGCATGTGGCAGTCCCCCAGCTCTGCTCCATCTCAGAGTTCCTCCTCACTCACTGTCCCCCCACATCAACATTGTGGGGGCATGAGGTTCAGCTGGTCCATCTTTTGCCACTCACTCCTGTCTTCCCCTTCCTGGCATCTTGGCAAATGCCCATAAACCTGCACTGTTGCCGGGCCCCACATTTGTGTGCCTCTCCCCAGAGATGGCCCTGCTCTGGGATGAACTCGCATGGGTCTGGGCTCAGCCAGACCCAGGAGCTGCCTGGTGCTGCCCTGGCTGCCATCTGCCCTGTCCTGGGCAGTGAGGAGAAGTAGGGGTGGTGTATGCCCTTGGCATGGACTTGGGTGGACTGCTGGTGTCTCCTATGTCCCCTTCCGTTGGTTGGGTGGCCACGCAGCCCTGACACCTGTGGGACAAGGGGCAGGGGAGGGCAAGGGGCACGGGGGGCAGCGTGGGGTCACCCTGGGCTGAAGAGAGCCTGTGGCCTCTTTGCAGAAGGTGCACGAGATGCTAAAGAAGGGCTGGGACACCGAGGGCTCCCCGTTCCGTGGCCAGAAGTTCGACCCCTCCATGTTCAACATCTCCCCTGGCGCCGTCCAGTTTTGACGGTGGCAAAAACAACTGAAAAACGAAGCAGGGAGAGGAGAAACCTCCCGGATGCCCACTGGGACTCTCACACTCCGTGCGGGTGCCCATGACCCGCTGCTCCACGCTGCCAGCACCCATCGGTGCGGGGAAGCCAGGCGCGGGCAGATTTACATCCTGTCACCACGGCAACCCGGGCGCCGAGACCCCTCTCCTCCCCTGCCTCCCCTTGCCTCGCGCTGCCGACGCTCTGTGTTTTTCCGGAATAGACGGATCATGTTGGGTGACATAATTATTATTTTTGGTGGATGAGTATGCTGCTTTTGGGTTTTCTGGGAGTGTGGAGCCCTCCCCACCCTGACTCTGGGCAGCTTTGCCCCTCGTGGGCAGGGCTGGGTGCTGGGTACGGGCAGCAGGGATGAAGGGACACATGCGGGAGCCTTCCCCTGCCCTGCACCCTGCCTGCACTCTGCCTGCACCCTGCCCACCTGGCACCCCCAAATCCCCTTGCCAACCCTGCTCTGGGGTCTCCCATGGTGGCTGTGCTGCCCTTGCCCCCTGCCCAGCCCCGCGGGAGTCTTCCTTCTGGTTTCCCCCCAACCCCATCACTGGAGGGTGGTCAAGGCACCCTGGGGTGGGCAGAGACCCCAGCCAGACTGAAGGGTTTGCTTCTGCTTCCCCAGGGGTCAGCAGGGAGCAGTGGGGGTGTCCCTCACAGCACTGGGGTTCGGGGGTGGCTACAGACCCACCCCTTGTAGCCAGCAGCCCACCCCTCCAGCTAGTGGGCAGGAGCCCCAGGAACATGGGCTTCCCTGGCATGGTACTTTGGGATCTGAGAGGGGGGATGTGGCAGCCCTGGCTCCCCCCAGGCCCGGCCTGGCTCTTGCAACTTCCCACTGCCCCTCCTACCCTGGGATAGGTAGGCTGGGAGTCCCCGGCCGTCGCCCTGTCCCTCCATTCACCCCACACCCAGTTTGCAATAAACAGATTTCTCACGGGGGGCCTGCGAGTGATTCGGTACCATCCCTGGGGGACAAGTGTGCCTGACCGCCGCCCCAGCGCCTCGCTTGTGGGGGAGGCACGGAGACACGCGAGGAGGACGCCTGGGGTGTCTGTCTGCCAGCATCGGCCCTGGGCATGTGGAGGATGTTGGGGTCCTGGGGAGGCTGGATATGGGATTCCTGTGGGGCAAGGAGTGGATTTTGTGATCCCCGGGAGGGGGTGGATAGAGGATACCCCGAGGGGGGCTGGATTTTGGGGTTC